ATATAAATTATTATATATTTATATTTTTTAATTATTATATATTTAAATTAATATATATTTATTTTTATATATATATATATATATATTTTATATATATATATTTATTATATATATTATATTATATATAAAATATATATATATATATTTTTTAAAATTTTTTATATTTTTATATATATATTATATATATTTTGTAAAGGGATTCAGGGAAACCGGATTTTTTATATGTTGGTTAAGTCCTGGAAAGGGGAAGTACAATGCCTGCCTTAAAGGGGGGGTTTGGGTTATTGGCGTTTGGGGGTTATTATATTTATAATCCTTCTGAACTGTTGTTCCGAGTGCTCTGCAAAGACAGGATTATGTATGGTGAGGTGAAAGTTGGGATGATGAAAGTATTTTCTTTCGGGGGATTTTCTTTTGGTTTTTCACCCTGCCTCTGGGAGGCGGCAATTGTTTAAAAAAAAATTAAATATAATGTCGTCCCCAAACAGAAACGTCTGGGGCAGAGGTCGTTAGAAGCACCCAGCAGCAGCAGCACAAAACAGTGGATTAACGTAGCGGAACACAGTTGCAGTATCGCAAAAGCAGAGCGGAGCAGCGCAGTGTAAATTTACTATTTCTTTTAATGTTCAATTTACTTTCTAAAAACCTAGGTTAAGGCTTATTTAAATTTGCTTTTGTCTTGTCCTTAATATGTTTGGCTGTTTTCCTCTTGTAAGGGGGGGGCTGGAGCGTTTGTGGGGTTTCCCAAAGGTTGTCTTTTTTATTATGGGGGTTTCCCGCGCTTTGGCTGCGTTTAATATACCTTATTGCTCATTTTATGCTTTAAAACGTCGAGTTAAATCCTAGAGGACTTTTTTAATACAGGTTGGCATTCAATTAATAAACCTGGTACGGGCAGGAATTGAACTCGCGGGTGTGAGTTAAAATCCAGATGGGTCTTCACGAGATTACCAAATTAAACCTTTGGGTTTTTTTGGCCTAAAACACAAAAAAGACTTAAATGAAGAGCAAGTTTTTACGTGACCCCCTGTGTTGCAGTACGAAGCGCTCATTTATCAGAGAAAGCGCTAGACCCCAAAGGGAATATGAAGCGTAGAACAGCAATACTAGCAGTCTTTAAAAGCTTGCTCTACATTTTCTTTCCCTTTAATACATTTCCCTTTTTTATATAGATTCCTAAGATTTTAAAAATTTTTTTTAAAGTCTGCGGGTTTTTTTTTTTTCGAGTTTCTATGGTCTTTTTCTTGATCCCCTCAATTCAAATTGACACTATTCCCTGACCTTGTTTACGTATCATTTTCCAAAGTCGTTAGATTCAGTCCCCCCCCCCCCCTTCCCTTTTTTTCATGCAGCTCGGGGGCCCGTTGATTGCTTGACTTTGAATTTTTTCTTTTGAACATTTTGATTAGGCTGAGAGGCCCGCTGGTTCTCCATAGTCAATACTGAGCCAGAAATATGTGTGAATAACGTCCAAGGGGGCTAGGCTGAGATTTGCTAGCCTACAGTGTGCCCGAAATACCGCAGTGACCCCCGTCTGCCCAAGTTTTAACGATATTTTTTGATTTCTTCCCAGGAATACTGAAGACTTTATAACCTTTTCCCATCTTTTTTACTTTTGCAGGTGTTCGGATTAAACTCAATAACCTTATTGATCAATTTTCAACCTGTGCCAAAAACCACTATTAGTTTTCCATTTCATAATTATGTTTGCATCTTTAGAAAAGAGCCACAGGTTTTAATTCCCCTTGGGAGACCGCTTTCGTTTTC